AAAAAAAAAAAAAAAAAAAAAAAAAAAAAAAAGAACAATTAAATATACACAGAAGTAGAGGTAACCCACATGTGTATCATGAACACTTGGCTTGAATGACTATCAACGTTTGACCAATCTAGCCAGGCGAGGTGACTCATGCCTGTAATCCCAACACTGGGAGACTGAGGCAAGAGGATTGCTTGAGCCCAGTGAGCCGACACAACATAGTGAGACCTCCATCTCTACAAAAAAGGAAAAAATTAGTCAAGCATGGTGGTGTGCATGCCTGTTGTCCCAGCTACTTGGGAGGCTGAGGAAGGAGGATCACTTGAGTCCAGGAGGTTGAGGCTGCAGTGAGCCATGATCATGCCATTTCACTCCAGCCTGGGCGACAGAGCAAAACTCTGTCTAAAAATAAATAAATAAATAAAAATTAGCTGGGCATTGTGGTGCGTTGCTTGTAGTCCCAGCTACTCTGGAGGCTAAGGCAGCAGGATCGCTTGAGCACAGGAGGTAGATTCAAACCATAGCATCAAGCTATGATTGCCAACTGATGGAGCCTTCAGAAACTTGGAAGTTGTTTTGGACATATGAAGGCTTAGAATGGTGCTGTCCAATAGTTATATAACGTGAGTCACAAATGTGAGCCACTTATGTCATTTAAAATTTTATTGTGGCCATATTAACAAAGCAAATGAAAATTAATTTTAGTTATACATTTTTATTTAACCTGACATGCCTAAAGTATTATCACTTCAACATGTAGTCAATATTAAAACTATTAATGTGGCCAGGTGCCGTGGCTCATGCCTGTAATCTCGGCGTTTTGGGAGGTCAAGGAAGGCAGATCACCTGAGGCCAGGAGTTCGAGACCAGCCTCCCAACGTGGCAAAAACCCATCTCTACTGAAAATACAAAAAAAAAAATTAGCCGGCCGGGCGCGGTGGCTCAAGCCTGTAATCCCAGCACTTTGGGAGGCCGAGGCGGGTGGATCACGAGGTCAAGAGATCAAGACCATCCTGGTCAACATGGTGAAACCCCGTCTCTACTAAAACTACAAAAAATTAGCTGGGCATGGTGGCGCGTGCCTGTAGTCCCAGCTACTCAGGAGGCTGAGGCAGGAGAATTGCCTGAACCCGGGAGGCGGAGGTTGTGGTGAGCCGAGATCGCGCCATTGCACTCCAGCCTGGGCAACAAGAGCGAAGCTCCATCTCAAAAAAAAAAAAAAAAAAAAATTAGCCAGGCTTGGTGGCAGGTGCCGTAATCCCAACTACTTGGGAGACTGAGGCAGGAGAATTGCCTGAACCTGGGAGGCTGAGGCTGCAGTGAGCCGAGATCACGCCATTGCACTCCAGCCTGGGCAACAAGAGCAAAACTCGATCTCAGAAACAAAACAAACAAAACAAAAAAAAACTATTAATGAGACATTTTACATTATTTTTTACACTAACTCCTCAAAATCTTATGTGCATTTTACACTTCACATCAAAATTCAGACTGGCCACATTTCAAGTGCTCACATGTCTAGTGGCTACTGCTTTTGAGAGCACAGACTTAGGAAGTTGAAATCATTGGCCAGTGGAACCTTCAGAAGCATAGCTAGAAAAAGTTAGAAAATTTGGATCTTGGCTGGGTGTGGTGGCTTACACCCACAACCTCGAACTTTGAGAGGCGGAGGCAGGTGATCACTTCAGCCCAGGGGTTTGAGACCAGCCTGGGCAACAAGTCCCTGTCTCTACAGAAAATAAAAAGTTAGCTGGGCATGATGGTGTGCACCTGTGCTCCCAGCTACTCCGGAGGCTGAGGCAGAAGAATCCTTGCATAAGCCCAGGAGGTTGAGGCTGCAGTGGGCTGTGACAGCCTGGGCAATAGAGCGAGACCCTATTTCACAAAAAAAAAAAAAAAAAAAAAAAAAAAAAAAAGAAAGGAAAGTTTGGATCTTGGAATCCTAGAAGGTTAGAATCACAAAAGGGTGAAATTTTAGAAACTTGGAAAGTTTGAATCATTGAATTAGTGAATTGAAAGCAGGTGTCTCAGCCGGGTGCGGTGGCTTACGCCTGTAGTCCCAGAACTTTGGGAGGCCAAGACGGGCAGATCACCTGAGGTCAGGAGTTTGACACCAGACTGGGCAACATGGCAAAACCCTGTCTCTACTGAAAAAGCAGAAAGTAGCTGGGTGTAATGGCGGGCACCTGTAATCCTAGTTACTCAAGTGGCTGAGGCAGGAGACTCGTGTGAGCTCGGGAGGAGGAGTTTGTGATGAGCCGAGATCACCCCACTGCACTCCAGCCTGGGCCACAGAGACTCTATCTCAAAAAAAAAGAAAAAATAGTTGTCTCAAGGTGGTGTGGGATGTCAGCCCCAAGGATTTGGGGTCACCAGGAGCTGTATGCGTGGGTGGGCTGAGGAGGCTGCCCGTGGCTCAGATCCCTGCCTCCCACCCACTGCAGGGATGTGTCATCAGTGGAGGTGCTCATGAACTACCACCAGGGCCTGAAGACTGAGCTGGAGGCGCGGGTGCCTGAGCTGACTGCCTGCCAGGAGCTGGGGCGATCTCTGCTGCTCAACAAAAGTGCCATGGCTGACGAGGTGGGGATCAGGGAGGGGGCCCCCCTCTGCCACCTGGGCACATTGGGGTGAAAGCCATTCCACACCCTGACTTTCCTCCCACCCACCTGCCACTCCCAGATCCAGGCACAGCTGGACAAGCTGGGAACCAGGAAGGAGGAGGTGTCGGAAAAGTGGGACCGCCATTGGGAGTGGCTGCAGCAGAGTGAGTGGGGGCCAGGCACATGTGGCTCAAGGGCACAGGGACATGCTCCAGCCTGTCCAGCGAGGCCCAGAGGGTGACAGGAGCATCTCGTACCCTATCCATGGGTGTCCAGAAGCAAACATGAGGGCGTGGAAGGGTGGACAAGGGGGCTGGCTTGCCATTGAATCTCCCCCACTAAAAGAGTCTGAAAGTCCTGGGTGGGGGAACATTAAGGAAGGAGGACTGGGAGTCAGAAAGGAGGAATGATGCCTGCTGAAATAGCCCCAGCATCTGCCATTCCTACAGATCACAGGATGGTCAGTGCTAGGGTATGGAAAGCCAGAGGGGTGTGGAAGGCCAGGAGAAACAGCCATTGCCCCGGGAAGGGCCCCAGGTGCCCCAGAATCCTGACCCTGCATGCCCCTCCTCAGTGCTGGAGGTGCACCAGTTCGCCCAGGAGGCGGTGGTAGCTGATGCCTGGCTCACAGCCCAGGAGCCAATTCTCCAGAGCCGGGAGCTGGGCAGCAGCGTGGATGAGGTGGAGCAGCTTATCCGGCGACACGAGGCCTTCCGAAAAGCGGCTGCAGCCTGGGAAGAGAGGTTCAGCTCTCTGCGGCGCCTGACCACGGTCAGCTCCCCAGATCCTGCCCCATTACCCCTACTCCCACCAAGACCACCACACCCATGGCTCTATGTGACACAGACACACCCGGACATGTGGTCAGTCCTGTGTTGTGTGAGTGCCAAAACAGACCCTTGCTAGGCTCCCAGTGGAGCAGAGGGACAGACCTGTCACCAGTGACAGCCCAGAGTGTCAGGGTTGTGATAGGGGAAGAACAAGCAGAGGGTTCGTGCCTGGGATGGGGGAACTGGCCTGGGGGATTCTATTCTCAGACTTGAAGAATTAGGTGAAGAGACTGTAGTAATAAGGCTTAGGCCAGGCATGGTGGTTCATGCCTGTAATCCCAGCACTTTGGGAGACCAAGATGGGCGGATCACTTGAGGCCAGGAGTTTGAGACCAGCCTGGCCAACATAGTGAAAACCCGTCTCTAATAAAAATACAAAAATTGGCTTGGCGTGGTGGTGCACGCCTGTAATCCCAGCTACTTGGGAGGCTGAGGCAGGAGAATCACTTGAACCTGGGAGGCAGAGGTTGCACTGAGCCGAGATTGTGCCACTGCACTCCAGCCTAAGAAACAGAGTGAGACTCCATCTCAAAAAAAAGGAGTGGGTGGGGTGGTTCACACCTGTACTCTCTTTGAGAGGCCTAGGCAGAAGGATCACTTGAACTTAGGAGTTCAAGACCAGCCTTGGCAACATACTGAGAAACCGTCTCTACCAAAAACAAAAGCAAGTAAAGAAAAAACAGCCAGACATAATGGGATGGGTCTGTAGTCCCAGCTACTCAGAGGGGTGGCTGAGCCTAAAAGATCACTTGAGCCTTGAGACCTGGAGGTTGAGGCTGCAGTGTGCTATGACCTTGCCACCTGCACACTCCAGCCTGGGCGACAGAGCAAGACTGTCTCAAAAAAAAAAAAAAAAAAAAGTCTTAGGTGGGGCTCAGTGGCTCATACCTGTAATCCCAGCACTTTAGGAGACCAAGGCAGGCAGATCACGAGGTCAGGAGTTCGAGACCAGCCTGGCAAACATAGTGAAACCCCATCTCTACTAAAAATTCCAAACAATTAGCTGGGTGTGGTGGTGGGCTCCTGTAATCCCAGCTACTCAGGAGTCTGAGGCAGGAGAATCGGTTGAACCTGGGAGGTGGAGGTTGCAGTGAGCCAAGATCACACCACTGCACTCCAGCCTGGGTGACAGAGTGAGAAGAGTGAAACTCCATCTCAAAAAAAAAAAAAAAAAAAGTTTTAAAGTCCTGGGTAGGGGGACATTAAGGAAGGAAGAATGGGAGTCAGAAAGGCATGCAGAGAAATTGAGTTAGCCAAGTTAAAAAGTGATCTAGGCCAGTTCTTAAAAGAGCAACAGGTGTTTGCTGGAGAGTAGGCTTTAAGTTCTTGGCAGAGAGCAAAGCATCGACAGGCCTGGGCACCTTGCTGTTTCAAGGAACTGATCCCTTGAGTGGTGAGGCAGAAAACCCAGGCCGCCTCCCCGGACCTTCCCCTTAACCCCGGGCCCCACGCTTCCAACCTGACCCGGGTCCCTCCATCCCTAGATCGAGAAAATCAAGGCGGAACAGAGCAAGCAGCCGCCCACCCCGCTGCTGGGGCGCAAGTTCTTTGGGGACCCCACGGAACTGGCGGCCAAGGCGGCGCCCCTGCTGAGGCCAGGGGGCTATGAAAGGGGCTTGGAGCCCCTGGCCCGCCGGGCCTCGGACACGCTGTCGGCCGAGGTGCGGACCCGGGTGGGGTACGTGCGCCAGGAGCTCAAGCCCGAGCGCCTCCAGCCGCGCATTGACCGGCTGCCGGAGATCCCGGGGAGGGTGGAGCCCGCAGCCCCGCCGGCCGCACCACAGGAGGCGGCGGAGACCCCCGCGACCCCCGCGGCCCCCGTGGTGGCGGAGCAGGTCCGGTCGCGGCTGGAGCGCCAGGAGTCAGCTGATCGCGCGGAGGAGCTGCCCAGGAGGCGGCGGCCCGAGAGGCAAGAGTCGGTTGATCAATCAGAGGAGGCTGCGCGGAGGCGGCGGCCGGAGCGGCAGGAGTCAGCGGAGCACGAGGCGGCACACAGCCTTACCCTGGGCCGCTACGAGCAGATGGAGCGACGGCGCGAGCGGCGTGAGCGGCGCTTGGAGCGGCAGGAGTCCAGTGAACAGGAGATGCCCATCAGAGGAGACCTGGTCAAGGGGTGAGGCGCCGCCTGTGACCAGGAAGTGGGGGGAGGGGGAGGCAGAGAGCTCCTAGAACCGCACAGGCCCACTGAAGGGGCTTCAGGGCTCAGAACTTCCCAAGGAAGGCGATACCTTCCCGGTACCCATTTTGCAAAGGTGTAAACTGAGGCTGCAAAAGAATCAATGTGTCCGTTATTACACAGGAAGGGAAGCCCTTCAGGCTGAAAGAAAAGGCAGAGTGCCTTCCTCCAGACGCATATTCTTGGCCCCTGGGTTGTGACTCTTGCATCAAGTCGCCCAGGTGCCCCAAGGCAGGATTTTTGTCCTCTCTGTGCCTGAATTTGTCCACTGAGCTAATGGTGGAACCCTCACGTCCTTGATTGGAGAATAGGCCCTTTATCACAATTCTGTCAGCAGCCATATGAAGTGGGAGCTGCTGTCTTCTCCATTATGTGGCTGGGGCAACTGAGGAACAAAGAGGGCAAGTCACTCAGCTTAAACTAACCGGGACTTTCAGAATCCAGAGTTGGCCAGGGTGTGTTGCGCAGATCCGTCCAGTCATCTGTGTGTGTCTCCAGAAAGAGGCCTTTGGTCAGGAGACAAAGACTTCTTGACTCCTTTTAAATTTCACAGTTCAAAAACATTTGCTGAGTGCCCACTCTGCCTGGCATGTGCTGAGTTGAGCGGTGACTGAATCAGTCCCATCCCTGACTTTAGAGACTCACAGTCCATTGGGGAAAACAGGCTTGTCATCAATGATGAACCCGAATTATCTGGGCTGGAATGGGAGCGATCCAGGGGACTTCAGAGTCAGGGGTGGGTGGAGAAAGGCAACATTTGCAAGTTGTTCTTTGTGCTGCTTACAATTCAAAGGGGCAGCCAGGGGTGTTGGCTCGTGCCTGTAATCGCAGCACTTTGGGAGGCCAGGCAGGTGGATCACTTGAGGTCAGATGTTTGAGACCAACCTGGCCAACATAGCAAAACCCTGTCCCTACTAAAAATACAAAAATTAGTCGGTGTGGTGGTGCACGCCTGTAGTATCAGCTACTTGGGAGGCTGAGGCAGGAGAATCGCTTGAACACAGGAAGTGGAGGTTGCAGTGAGCTGAGACTGTGCAGCACAGCGCTGCACTCCAGCAACAGAGCAACTCTGTTTCAAAAAAAAAAAAAATTAATGGGGAGAGAGGTTTGGTCCTCCATTCTACAGACATACCTAAGGCGAGCATCTGAGAGAAACAGCTACAGAAGTAGGCAGGGGCCTGGCACTTCCAGCTAAGGAGTGGAAGCTCCTCTGCCCACCCAGGCAGGTCTGTGGGAGAAGGAACCCTGGTTCCATTGGGTCTTTGTCTCCCATTCCCCAGGAAGGCCACCCTGGCTGACATTGTGGAACAGCTGCAGGAGAAAGAGGCAGGCCCAGGGCTGCCTGCTGGGGTAAGTTGAGCCTTGGATGGGTGGGGATATGGGAACCCCTTTTTCTGAGCAGGAGGCAGGATCTCAGAAATAGCCAGTGCCTAGCCCTGGCTGGACCCATCCCCTACCTGGACCCTGCAGAGACAGCATGGACTCTCAGGGCCCCCAGAATCTGAAAATGTCCCCCTTAGAAAGATGGGGCGCCCACCTAAGAGACCCCTACTCCCCCTCCACACACACACACACACACACACACACACAGACTCTTCCCACGTCTGTTCTGTACTCCGTATTTCTTCAGTCCAATGGAGTCCCAAATTTCTGCATTCACACACACACACACACACACACACACACACACACACACACACACA